ATCTAAACTCCACGACCGCAAAAATTCAGGTTAAAAGTAGTACCCCTCAAGGCCAGAAATTACTTTAAAACAGAAGCTATATTTTAAAACAGAAGCTACATACTACTGTAAATGCAATAGCAGACATCAGTTATAAATAATAATAATAATAATAATAACAACAACAGAACAGGTACGGATGCTAAACATGAGAATCATGTAAAACAAGGCCATCTAGTTCCAAATATCCTTCACAGAGTCCTACTCAAGATATAGCAAATAAATTGCTACCTCAAGAAATGTTCATTTGTAATCAACCAGAAATCCAATGTTATATCATGATTTTGCAGATTAGCATACTAATAATGTCATTCAGTAATTTAATTTCGACATTATTTCAAATAATTATCCTAAGTAATTTGCTGAAACTTTTGCCTATTAATATATCCAGTTGTATAAGCACACCGCAGATTTACTATTGTGGAAATCTTCAGTTCCAATGACGATGATTTGTCAGAAATCAGAATAACAACTAGGAAAAAGTGAGGCAAGACTGAGATAAATAGAGAACCCAATTCCATGATATTCTTATATCTTACATGCATGGTAATTAGTAATAAACATAGATTACAATTACCATATTTTTAAGTTTACCCATCAGTTCAATGTCTTGAGGAAGATTAATTCCTATAAAGATATGATTTGCTGATCTGTTTCTTTATAGTTACGTAGAGTTTTGATCTGATAATTGTATTAGATTTGCACAGAAAGCAACTACTGATGGAAATAGGATGGTTTTAGTATGTTGTTCCACACTTGGTAAATGTTATTTTCAAATATGCTACTGGAAAGGCTATTTGAGGTGTACCATTCATTTGTATGTAAAAGTAAATATCAGTTTTTATTTCTTCCATTTAGAGAACATTTACCAATATCCAGTAAAGAATGAGAATATCAAAATTCGCACAGTAATAAGAATAACATAAAAAACTAAGTACCAGATGAAGCTGCAAACTTAAATTATAAACATACTGGAAAAAAAAAGCTACCCATGAGAATATATCATCTTCCTGAGAACTCCATGCTGGACTCATGAGACTCCTGCTGCGAGCAGTCCACCGTTGCTCTATAGGAGCCGGAGCTGGCACATTTTCTCTCTCTATAAGTTTCTTCAACTCCTCCATATATTCCAAATCCTTCATACTAGGATTTGCAAGAGTTCCTGCTGGAAAGCAGGTTTCTGATACCCATTGCTGCCCGCCACAATCAAAACCCAATATTTCATCACTCCAACCTACACGGTACCCCTCTGATTTTTTCCAGTATTCTGCTTCAGCTTTGTTCACTTCTACGACATAATCTTTGTTAAGAGGGTCTAAAGCAAGAAGCTTATCCCTCAGCTCAGTAAACGAAAGTTGATCTATATCTGGTTCATCAGGACTCTCACTTGTTCTGCAAGCATCTATAATTGGTAATAACGGAAAAAAGAATAAAATGTGCTGCTTAGCATAGATAACAATTATACTATTGTAAGGAAGTTCAGGAAGAAGACAGTAT